CCCTTCAGGCCTCGTACCAAATCAGCTTTGCCATTCCCTCTGTCTCAAGAGGCCCCTTCCATGTCTTGATTGCCGTACCTGATAAGTCGGCAAGGCGCTACTGCAAGGTTTGTGGCTGCAGCCTTGCACACACAGTCCTGGGCCGCGGTGTGTCAGTCCTCTATAACTCATCCTCCGCCGGGTCAGCATCACCACCGTCGGGACCGTCCTCATTGCCCTCCCTGGACGACCTCCTGGACCCCCGGGGGGTGGGGGCACCTGGAGGAGCCGATAATGGAACAGCAGCAGCTTTGAACCCGGGCGTCCTCAAGGTATGCTGTTGGACGCATGTAGATACTGGCTGTTGTTGCTGCTGCTCCTGCTGTTGCGTTGGTATATATGTATGTATGTATGTGTGTCTCTTTACACCTCGGTTGTGTTACCCAGAGAGAGGTGTAACGAGCCGGGGGGTATATATGTACAAATGGGCAAAGCTAGCCAGCAAGTAGGAGCAAGGAGTACGTGAGATCAGAGAACTGTTACTAAAAGGTAAACCCTGCGTAGGAAGATCCACCTCTAGGTGGGGTGGGTGGGTGATGGACCATCCGGAGAGATCCGGGTGATGGATACATCGATGTACGTACATGCGCAAACAACTAGGTGTGTACGTATATATGTCTGTATATCTCTACCACCTACAATACACAACACGTTCACCCCTACCTTCGTTCCAATGATCAACTCGACACGAGTCCCATACATACATACATACATACATGCATACGTGTAATAGTCCTTACTGCATGTGTGTGCGATCATCACCACACATCCCTGTTGCTGTACACACTGACACCCCACCCGGGCAGACATGGGCCGCGTATAAAATATGCACATATGCACATGTGGACATTTATGTGTTTTTAATCCCCCAGGAGGTGGACATCACCGCTGGTTCACCCTCCAGTCCTGACCGGCAGCAGCAGGGCCTTGGTGGTGGTGGTGGTGGTGGTGGTGGTGGTGGTGGTGGTGGTGGTGGTGGTGGTGGTGGTGGTGGTGGTGGTGGTGGTGGTGGTGGTGGTGGTGGTGGTGGTGGTGGTGGTGGTGGTGGTGGTGGTGGTGGTGGTGGTGGTGGTGGTGGTGGTGGTGGTGGTGGTGGTGGTGGTGGTGGTGGTGGTGGTGGTGGTGGTGGTGGTGGTGGTGGTGGTGGTGGTGGTGGTGGTGGTGGTGGTGGTGGTGGTGGTGGTGGTGGTGGTGGTGGTGGGAGAGGCCCGCCGGGTGCAGCAGCCATATGGCTGATAGAGCCTGGCTCCAGCGGTGACTACCTCATCAGAATCAAGGTGACGATGACACACACGGATATACATACATACATACATACATCAACATACAAATACAAATAGTCATCATTCATTCATGCATGTAGGTGCAGTCCTAGTGCTTCTACTGCCAAGCATGGTTATTGCTGTAGTAGCTGTAGCTTTGTATCCATCAGCAGCAGCAGCCGCAGCAGCATGTGCTGATAAACCCTAATCAGTGATAAACCGTAGACTTGTTAGATGTTTGTAGATTTACCTACCTGCATACATACGTACATACCTACCTACCAGCATGCTGGTATGCGCATGTAGCAGCTGGCCGCTGAAAAGGCCTCTCGAGATGCTGGTGGTCGCGCTACGCGCGTATTTATAGAGCCGTACTGTGTACCAGCTACTACACACACACACGCTGTAAGAAGGGTTCAGCTCCCTTGGCATCTCCCTGAGTACTCTTTGCCTGGTGTTACACACACCCGCACACGCACACACACCCATCTGCAGGTATGCGCCCCAAGCTGTATACACTGTGCTGCTTATCACCACCCCATTTACCTCATCCATCCATCCATCCATCCATCCATCTACCTTCCTCCAGGTGGGGTCATCTGTGTGGTACCGCTGGGTGCTGGTGGACGTGGACCCCCCGAGAGTTTCTGGTCAGCTGCTCATGTCGAACAGCAGTGTAACGCCGCTCGTCAACCCCAGTGGCAGCATTGCTACGATGGCCACGATGGATGTGGCACCTCTCCGGTACTTACTCGCCCTGTTTGTAATGTCTGAGCCGGTACGGAAAATGAACCTGGCTTCAGCTTTGCAGCTCAATGATGGTGTCGCTCTGGTTAGGGTGGAGTGCTTTGAGTCCGCACACACGGCAGCGGAGTGGTCAGGAGCGCTTCCAATGACGGCAGTAGCAGCGGCGGGCAGCCCTGGCGGGGCATCGGAGGTAGCGGCGGGTGAGCAGCGGCCGCCACCTATGTCCCGAGCAGGCCACCCCGCGGCAGCAGCAGCAGCGACCACCACCACCACCACCCGGCAGCTAAAACTCATCAGCGGGGACTTCAGTCATTATGCCGGTGCTGCATTCGGTATGCCGTACATACAGTCCTGCTTAGCGTTGATGTACGCAGCAGAGGGCAGCAAGGTGTCGGTCGTCCTGCCGGAAGCTGCAGTGGCGGACTTATCCGGCAACCCAAGTAACCGGTGCGTGCATGAACACGTGCACCCGTATGGGTGAAATGCCCACCCATGAGAAGAGAAGCAAGCGGCTGTGCGCGACTTTCCAGCAGCCCAACACCAAATCACCGCCAGGAAATGTCCTCATATGCGCTGCTGTACGACTTTAGGGAATGGAGTGATGTAGTTAGCATTGAACATCAGCAGTACGTACCATACATGGAAGCCCCTACTTAAGTTGCCATACTTAAGTTGCAATTTGTGGATGCAAGGGGGAATTCAGATCAATGCCCAGCAGCAGGGCACACCAATACACACCTACATATTTACTACATACAAACTCCAATATATCCGTGCCGTGTACCTGCGGCTGCTGCTGCATGTGTGCTACTTGACAATAATACACCTCTCAGGGCATTGGTGCTGGAATCCCGGCTTCCGGTGCCGAAGGGCGCGTCTGCTGCCGGCCGGTCTTCTCGCGCAGTGGGAGGAACGGTGGCCTCAGTTTACGCGATGTCCATGTTGCTCAAACTCCGTTGGTCCATGCTGCTTAGCGCTTACCATATCCAGGTATGTGGTGGTACATGTGGTGGTACATGTGGTGGTACATGTGGTGGTACTAAATGGATATATTCCTGCTCTTTGAAGGTGCTCGGCCAGCATCTTTTTGCTTAAGAGACGAGGAAACCATCCCAGCGGCTATTTAGGCACCTTCTAGTAGTAATATTAATAATGTGCCTAAACTATTGAGCGGGCCATTGAGCGACGGCACACACACACACACACACACACGTTACACAGGGCTTGCACACCACCACCGGCAGCACTAGTGAGCTTCGTTCCGCTTCTGCTGCTGCTGCTGCTGGGCATTGCCTGCCTGCCTGCTGCTTTTTAACAATACTTTGTCCTGCCTCGTCACGTACATACATACATGTATACATACGTACATAGCTGCTGGGGATTAAGATTGCGCCAAACACGCATATACTCCAGCAGCCCACCGCACCCTTATACATTTCTTTTCCAATTCAGATACTCACCTTGTCAACTAGCATGGCGTCGCCTGGCATCAGTTTGCGATACCGCTTGGTAGCTCGTAACCTGCGGCTCTTCATCCTGAGTGTGAAGGGCAATCTGCCTCTCCTTGACAAAATTTTTGCCAACCGACAAGACGACGATGGTGGTAGCGCTATCGTGTACCAGCAGCAGCAGATCATCAACGCCACCCTGGACGGCCTGGCGGTATTTCGGTCTGTCATCAGCAACACCACAGCCGGAGAAGCAACAGCTCCCTCAGCCCCTTCAACAACGTCGTCGTCGGGCCCTGCCCCCCAGCAGGGGCCCCCACTCCATGTGGGCGGTGGCAGCTTCGTGTCGTCGTCACCAGCGGCCCGCAGCGGCAGAGATGCAGTCTGGGACTTGGAAGAAATGAAACTGTTGGTTAATAATAAGCCGGCGCTACCTGATGCGCTGCTATACAACAACATACAACAATCTTCCCCTCCAACGGCAGCCGAGGTGGCTGACAGCAGCAGCAGCAGCAGCAGCAGCAGTAGTAGAGAGCTGCTGATATCTTTGCTACGGAGTCTGCATGCATTCAGCGACTATAACAGCACCAGCAATAGCGGCAGTAGAAGCGGTGGCGACACAGCAGGCAGCAGTCCGAAGGCCACCAGCGACTATGTCCTTGGTGGTGCTGCCGCGGGCAATAATGATGCCGTACTGGCGGTTGATTCCAACGGTCGGGTGCTCAATGGCAGCTCACACGACTATTACCGGGGCTCACCGCCACCTGTAACAACAACAACACCTGCCAACAAAGGCAACAATTTCCCCCCCACCCTGCTGGCAGACAAGCAGGACTTGCTGTACACACTCGTGGCTGCCGCAATAGTGATGGGAAGTCTGACGTCAGCACACATTCTGGCAAATTTTCTTTACCGGATGTTCATCAGCAAGGATTTACCAGCATCCCTTCAGTTCCCGTGCATGGAGACGACTCTGGGAGGTGGGAGGGCGGGGGGGGGAGTGGTGTGCGGACCACCTTACCTGCCGATGGCCACCGACACCCGGTGGCGGGGCACATCACGCCCAGCAGTGATGCTGTATATGACATGTACCCCCGCCCATCTGCAGTAGTGGATGGCTCAGCTGAGTCAGCCATACATACATACATAGAGATCATATGTGGCTGCGTCTGGAAACCACGATGATGTTTGTATGTATATCTGTGATGGCCATCGTGGTGGTTTCTATCCACCACGATAATGTATGTATGTATGTATGCACCACGAAACCATGACCTTCAGACATGTAGCTATTCAGACACATGCATGTCCCTTGCTTTACCCCAAACTTACATAACTAACTATGTATGTGCATACACACATACATACATGCAGGCGGCTGGCAGAAGTTAAGGCCTGACTTCTGCTCCCAATCGATCCAGTCGACCCGGGTTCAAATCCGCCTGCCAGCTCCTCGGGTGTTTGAGGAGTGATGAAATGGGAGGTGGCCCCCCATCATATGGACGGTGTAGGACGTGATAATATCAACTTGCGAGCTGACCAGGAACTAAGTTGATGCGCCGTTGATCCGCTAGATTTGGTTGGATGCTGGTGGTGAGTTGCCGAACCCAACGAATACATTCTGAAGGCCGGATGGGGTGACGGATTAGGGTGCCCCTCTAGCAGGGGAGAGCAGGGACTGCCCCGGGAAAGGGGGCCGCTGGCGAAGTTAACCACCCTGTAACAACATACATATGTACAGGCATCATCATGGTGGCTTTGACGTTCTTCTCATTTGTGGCGCTGGGCGGCCCTGCTACCACTGCAGCTATACTCGTGCTGTGCTTCCTGATATTGCCGTACCTCATGTTTTTGTGGTGGCTGACAGTTTGCCGCTGGTACCTGGTGGAAAAGGTGAGAGCATCAGTTGGAAGTAGTCTAGTCAAGTAGAGGTGGAAGTAGTTAGTCAGGTAGGCCATTTACGAAAGCTGCTGCTGCTGCTGCTGCTGCTGCATGTAGTAGTTACGGATTCACTACTGCTTAGGCGCCACCTCAGCGGTGGCACATGTGTATATGGCTGCGTGCCTCCGCTGTAACAATGCCGCTATATACATATACATACATACATATGCGGTGAGGGCCCCGACCGACTGTTACGGAGTTCATAACCGATAATGGCGACCGTGCTGCCGTTCAATCGCATTGGTACCCTTTCCACCGCCGGGATTGTTACAGATCCATTATCAGGATCACACTTGGCCCAGCCGTACGCAGCCGTACACAGCAGGTCCTTCATCCAGACCTAGCTAGTCCAGTCCGTAGTTTACGTTTCAGGCATGGCGAGCACATCCCCCGGTTGGAGGAATATGTCTAAAACAACACACTTTCAGGCCTGCTGTGTCTGCTATACCACGCAGCACGACTTACTACTAAGAACCAATCTGTCTATACCTGCTGCTGTCCGTCCATCCACCCATGTATGTATGTATGTATGTATGTATGTATGTATGTATGTATGTATGTATGTATGTATGTATGTATGTATGTATGTATGTATGTATGTATGTATGTATGTATGTATGTATGTATGTATGTATGTATGTATGTATGTATGTATGTATGTATGTATGTATGTATGTATGTATGTATGTATGCAGGCGAGCAAGGACGTCGCCTTCGTAATGGGACCCCATTGGGCCCTACCACCACCTCCCGCCGGCGGTGAGCAAATAAAGGGCAACAGGTCAAATAAAAGTCACTCATTCACTCGATGGATGGCTCTAGTAACTGTCGTACAGTACGGCACACACATCATCTATAAATACACGCCAATTCGTGCTGCCAGCAGCTACGACTACTGCAAGGAGTGGCTCAGTTATCGGTCCGTCGGAGTATTATCCTGTATCACACATGTACGCGTTAATAATAAGTGCATGGCATGACAGGCATATGACAGATGGCATCCAAGGGCGGATATCACATGTAGAGCTCTATCATGGAGAACCCCTTTATTTTCAGCTTGTCGATTGGAGCGTGGTTGAATGGATACCTCCGGCCTCCCTCATATTCGTGGGCCGCAGTCAGACCTGCCCCGCATGTGTATGTATATCGGGGCATGGCAAGCGACATGCCCCATGCGACAAGCCCCATGCGGGTGCAAGACAGCCACTACTGAACTCCCCCGCTCTCCACTTACCCTGCTTCCCTGCTGACGAAGTAGCGGACGGACGGATATGCATGGTATGCGGGTAGCCCTGGTGGTAGTGGGTTGCGGGTGGCCATGGCCTTCCCCAGAAGGCACAGAACAGAAGAATCATGCAGCGAGGTACGGTGTCGTTAGGAAGGTGCTCTCACTGACACCACCGGGCTAGCCAACTCGAAGGATTAGGGTTTTGGTAAGTGGAGAATGAAGGGACGATAATGCATGCATATATATAATGTGCACATGCATGATGATGAACTCCCCCCGCCGCCACCACCTTCTGGACCTTCATTCATTCAGACAATGATGAGCTTCCAGAACCCACGGCAGGAGGAGGCATCAATGACGGCGTTGGTGTAGCCCGCAAGATCAGTATATCCCGAATGCGTGCCGCACTTCTGGTGGGACGCAGCATACTCCTCCTCACAGCGCGAAAGCGAGCTGCAAGCGTTATGGCAGCCGTTCAACACAGCCTCTACACACTGGGCCGAAGCAGAGAGTATGTTTCTGGAAGCATTACTTATATCGGCCACATGCTAACAGCTGCTGCTGGCTACCAATACACTACCGGGCCAACAGGCCATCCTGCCCCATCTGGGGCTATTCCTGGATGGCCCGATCAGCGGACTGGCACACCGCGGGAGAGGCAGCAGCAGCACCTGCAGGTGCCCGGAGGCGGCTGCGACCGTACTGAACACCCTAACTCCGATTTGGGTGAACCAAGCAGCTGTCAAGGCCAGCTGTCCAACCTAACCTTTCAGCGTGGTCGTGGGCCTGCAGCTGGCAAACCAGGTCATAACAATAAAGAAACACAGATGCAACGTTCCGACACCGTAGATGCGCAAGACGTCGATTTTGGCTTGTACCCTACCGTTGATAGCGATATCGGTGAAAACGGCCCCCGCCATCAGCAGCAGCAGGAGGGTGATAGTGGTGGTGACGAACAGCGACCAAGCTGCCATCTTAGTGCTGTCCTCACCACACCTTCAGGGGGGGGCTCGTCAACGATAATAAGCAAAGACTTGCAAGGTTTGCAGCAGACCAACCTACTTATAGAAGGCAAGTTATTAGGCTGGGTGGGTGGGTGCTGGTGGGTGCTGGTGGGTTGCGTGTGTGGGTGTGTGGGTGTGTGTGTGGGTGCGTGCTGGTGGGGGGGGGTGCGTGTGTGTGTGGGTGCTGGTGGGTGCTGGTGGTTGCAGGTGGGTGTCCTCTCGCGGTCCACCGTGTGTGCACGAGCTAGCTAGCTCTGGGTCTGGGTCTGGGTCTGGGTCTGGGGGGTACTGCTACCAACTGGGGTACTGACCGAGGTATTGCTGGCGGCATGGGACATTTAAACATCCCCGCGGCAGCGGCAGCAGGGGGGGGTTGATCCCTTTCTAGAGATCCAGCCTGTGTATGTTGCCGCCACGTACGTTCATGCCTGCAGCGCCTGCAGGTCGCTCCCTGGAGGGGGGTGATGGTGGTAGTGGTGGTGCTTTCAACATTACTGCTAATCATACTACTACTACTGTTAATAGTAATGTGACGAATAGCTCCAAGGCGGCCTCATTCCTCCGCCATCGAAAGTCATTCAAAGACTGGGGTGATAGTCAGCAACAGCAGCAGCAACAGCAGCAGCAGCAGCACCCAAGGCATCTTGTTACGCATAGCAGCAGTAGCAGTAGGCCAAAGCCGCTGCAGCTGCTGGGACTGGACGGCTCGCCGGGCCCCAGCAGGGATGGGTTACGTGGAGCGACTACTGCTGCTGGTGATGTGTCCGCACTAGGGACCTGCCGCACAAATGTCACCTCCTTGGTGCAGTCCAGCGGAACTAACGACTCTCCAGGAGGAAGAGGATCTGCTGCTGACCAGGACATCATCTCGTCCAACTTACTAAGAACCAGCTCCAGCAGCAGGCAGCTGATGATGAGGCCAGGTGCAACGAATGCTAAGGATGCAAAGGGAATAATAGGGAGCTTAACTTCTCTCCCCGGAAATGTAAGATCTCTCCTGGAACCAGTCGGGCCTTCACAACAGCAGCACCAGCACCAGCACCAGTGTGACACCGCTGCTGCTGTAGCAGCGACCGAACAGAAGACGTCTACCCACAAAAGCCAAGCAGCACCAACAGCAGAGGCCTCATCACCCTCCACAATGGTGGTGAGAGCATGGGGCGGGCGGGCAGGCGGGCAGGCGGCAGATGTACTGCTGGTCGTTACTGCTGCGCTGCTATTTGCTGCTTGGCTCGCTGCATGTCATGTGTGTGATGTAGGCCTGTGTACATGTACATGTGCCCTCGACAATATGCCCGCGTGTGTTATATTAATAAATATATACCTTGTGTAGTTGCCGCGCGGTGTCGACTACCCTCCAAAGGTGTAACCCGGGGGGGGCCCATACATACACGGAACGGATTAGGGTGCCCCTCTAGGAGGGGAGAGCAGGGAGAGCAGGGAATTGCCTCGGGAAAGGGGGCCGCTGGTGAAGCTTAACCACCCTGTAACGACATACATACACGCCCTAAAGGGTCCCAATGGCCTGCAGCCTAGGACTGTCCGAGATAGGTAGGTAGGTAGGTAGGTAGGTAGATAGCATGGAAGACGCATGTGTTTGATTTTTGCTTATAGCTGGCTGTGGCTGGAATGGGTATCTATGGTGTCTATGGCAGGATCATGCGTCAGGATCCTGTTCAACGTTCTGGAAATGAAAATGCATAATATAATGCAATTCATCACTACTCTCTCGACTTTGTGCGGCGGTTTTCGGATGGCCAACCCGCCCACCGGCTGCTGCTGCAGAGCTCGCCCCAGGCCAATAACGACATCACCACCACCGAGGTGGCGGCACAAGAGGCAGCACAAGAGGTCGGGGCGGTCTCTAGGCCGCCAAGTCGCCGCCGACCATGGAAGGATACGACTACTGCTGCTGCTGTGATGAGCTGCTGTGTGAGCAAGCAGCAGTTTGATGATGCTCCGGAGAGTAGTGGCCAGGGCAGTGATGGTGAGGGTACAACAGCAGGACGGTGGGCAAAGCCTGTTGGAGAAGCCTGTTCAGACGAGGCTGCTGATGAGGCACATGGCAGCCATGCGGCCGGTGGGCCAAGGCTAACTCACTCTGTGGACACCTCCATTCCATGTCACGCATCATCCCGCCACCAGCAGGCGGGGCGTTTCACGGCTCCACGTCGCCCCGATGTTAACCTGCCCTCCCTGTATAGCAGCACCAGCACCAGAATTATCAAGAGGAATTTACATAGCTTGGGCTGGAGTAGTAGTAGTAGCAGTAAATCGCTGAGTAATAGGCAGCAGGATTGCATTATGTATTACAACGCAATTGCTAACGGAGAGGAACAGGAGCGGCCGTCGTTCAGTGTCAGCTTTATTACCCGGGCACCATCGATGGACGGCTGTCCTCAGCAATCCACCAGGTAGGTAGGTAGGTATGTATGTATGTATGCATGTAGGCAGGCAGGCAGGCAGGCAGGCAGGCAGGCAGGCAGGCAGGCAGGCAGGCAGGCAGGCAGGCAGGCAGGCAGGCAGGCAGGCAGGCAGGCAGGCAGGCAGGCAGGCAGGCAGGCAGGCAGGCAGGCAGGCAGGCAGGCAGGCAGGCAGGCAGGCAGGCAGGCAGGCAGGCAGGCAGGCAGGCAGGCAGGCAGGCAGGCAGGCAGGCAGGCAGGCAGGCAGGCAGGCAGGCAGGCAGGCAGGCAGGCAGCCAGGCAGCCAGGCAGCCAGGCAGCCAGGCAGCCAGGCAGGCAGGCAGGCAGGCAGCCAGGCAGCCAGGCAGCCAGGCAGCGGGCACGATTATCCGGGCGCGGCGAGTACTGGAGGGTACAGTCAAGTAACCGGTACAACCCGAACGGTTTCCCACGGTGGTGCGGGCATACAGGAGCGGCTACGCCGCCCCTCAGTTCCCCACCCCCTTAACACACGCCAGGCCCCGGCCGGCGTACTATTATTATTATTATTATTTATCCCCGAAGCGTCAGCGGCCTCAGCAATGCGCCCCACAGCCGCGAGCTTCATCGCGGCACACCGCAAGTCTCCGGAGGCCCCGAGCATTGGCTAAAGCAAATGTACAAACGAGCAGCTTGCGTATTTCATAGAGAAATGAAAGCAAATTTGTCGGCCTGCTGGTGGCAAGATGCCCGTGCGGGCAAACGGTAACACAAGCTGGGTGTTTAAGTTATCATACCCTGTCATTTCAGAATTTAATTATGAGGTACGCGGTACCTTTTGAGATTAAACTTAGCCCGAGAGGCGTTGATGTTACTTTGGCCTCGGTCAATTAAGGCAGCCAAACTTGTTTGTGCACATTTGTGCTCATACGATTTTTATTAGCTACAGGCGAGATACCATATGGGACCAATAACGCGTTTCAGCCGGGCGAGATATTAAGTTTGGTCCGTTACACACGGCCTCACGGCCACACGGCCACACGGACATGGGCAATCCTACAGGTCGGGGCCCCTGGGCGCTTCGCGCTGGGCCCCCGCCCGAAAATTTCGGTTCGAAGTACGCAAATTGCTCGTTTGTACAATTATTTTGGCCAATGCTCGGGACCTCCGAAGAGTTGCAGTGTGCTGCTATGAAGCTCGCGGCTGTGGGGCGGACTGCTGAAGCCGCTGGCGCTTCGGGGATAAACTTCACAGACAGCACCGGAAAGTGCTGAGGGCTTTGATGAAGTGTGTCGAGCTAGGCTTTGAGGGATGCGCCAAGGGCGCGTGAGCAGGCGACCGAATGGGCAGGTCAACGGCTGCAGAGGTGCTGTACGGCGCTGTTTTCCGTGTGTGTTATGGCTGCGGCACCAGACCGCAAAGCCAACAGGCTGAAGGCTGGCAAGCTGCGACTGTGTCTGCTGAGCGTTGAGCAGCCGGCCTGGACCGCGGACTTGGCGGCCGAGCCCTTGCTGTGTGCCGGTAACGGCACCTCAGGCTCATACACTTATGCTTTATGGCGGCTTGCATAACAAATTGCGGGTGCGAGGCGAAGTGCACTCTTGCGTACGGCTAAAGTCACAAGTCGCAAGTCGCAAGTCGCAACGCGCAACTCAAAAGGAACTCAGAAAATTTCTTTTATCTTTTTTACGCGAATACATACGTGAACCACGCCTGTAGGGTGTAAACACAGCGCATTTGTGGCGTCCGCGTCTGCGGCTATGGCCGATCACAGGCGCAAATATGCTGAAGTGGCTTGCGGCCTATGTGGCTTCGTCTGTCTGAGCAATGCAATGTAGCTGTTCATATGCACAAGCTCAATCAGGCCTCATCTAGTAACAACGTGCAAGTTCTTATCAGTATTTGCTTATGGGCCTTCTGGTGGGGTTCCGAGGACTTTCGCCAATTGGGGAGTCTAATGGCAAATTCCCTGTGGTTGCGGGTTCTGAGCCTCTTGGCTGTCTAGGTGACTTGCGTTGTCTGGTCTGGGTGGGAGTCTTGTTTGCCCTTATCGTATCAGGTGCAGTACACGGCCTGCTGGCCCCCTGGCTGTACTCTTTGTGAGTCTGGAGCCCACTGTAACAACCACACTTGCCTCGAGGCATCCCTAGCCCCGGCGGTGAACTGATAGGAACTAGCCTAGTCTGCACAAGTTCCGCACACATGCAGGGGTGTCCATAAAAGCTGGGGGGTCTATGGGCGGTAAATCGTTTTTAGGGCGGTTACATGGTGGACCATCATCGTCCACCCTCGTCCGCTTGAGCACAAAGCGCCTTAGAGCAACGTGCCGGGTCTCCCAGACTTCCGAGAGGAACCTGGCTACTGCCAGGGGAGGGGCCTCGGTCATAATCGTGCACATGTTGCACCCTTGAAACGCGAGGTCACGTTCATACTTAGCCCATGTACTAGTGTACACCGGGCATTCCACAAAGACATGCATTTTGTCTTCAACCGGCCCCCAGTCACAAAGCCACCAGGTGCACGCTGTGCACTCATGGCCGTTAGGTCGGTTAATCTCTTAACTCCCAACAGCCTAACCGGAAACATATAAGCATTTGACGCAAACATTGGGGCATGGCGATTTCAGGTGGTCATTATGGATTTCAGCACACACAATGGACCCTGCCTGCTCCCCCGTGCCCCTTGTGGGCAAGCAATGGAGAATCGGGTGAGAGACCGAGCTTTCTATTAGGGCCTGGTGCCTAAATAGGGAGGGGTAGGGTCTATACAGGGTTTCCGGGTTTCCTCGGTCTTCTTGAACCCTCACCCCAAGAGCCAGTCTTCTTGTGTGTTTCAGGCTCAGTGCTCAAACTCACGTGACGGAGCCTTGACCCCGGGGGAAGGAGAGCGGAACTAGCGGACCTGCGGCTCTCGGCTGCTTTGGATGGGACAGAGGCCCCTTATGCCCATCTCCCGTCTGCAGGAGGAGCTTAGGTGGTCTTTCCGTTGGGGCTAGGCAGCAGTCCCTGGCCAGTGTCAGGCATGGTCAAATACTTGCAACACACGCACACGCACACACACGCGCGCGCGCACAAGCTCACGATATTGAATTGAATTGAATTGTTACAGAGTGGGAGGCTTCTGGGCCATTTGAACATATTGTCACACAAGCTCGCGATATGCCAGCTGAGCTGATTCCCGTGCCTCTTATGCCCTGGTAGAAACCTTCTTGAAATGCCTTGGTAAAAACCTTCTTGCGGACATACCCAGCTCAGACAATGCACGGCTAATATCAGGGCCGCTCCATTGAGTGCTCAGTAAGTTTGTCATAGCGGTGGCCAGATCGGAGAGCAATGCTTGGTCGTCGGCCTGCACCAGCTCCACAAGCGTCTGTGCAGCGATCTCATCAAACTTGCGTGGTTTGCGTGTTCCTGTTTGTCCTCTAAGCGGCAGGACATCGCCATTCGCCAGGTAGGAGCATGCACAGTCCTCTCGCAAGGTCTGTGCCCGAAAGCTTCAGCTATTTGCGCTTGCGTGTAATTCTCATCGAAATAGAGGTGGCAAACATGTTCGCGGACTTGTTTGCTGTAGTAGTAACGGTTTAATACTTCTCCAATTGTGAGATCCGTTCTACAATCTGAGTCACGTATGCACATGTATGTATTCGCATAAAAAGAATAATAGACATTTAGCGTGTTCCTTGCGAGTTGCGAGTTGCGACTTCGGAAGTAAGCAAGAGTGCACTTCGCCTCGCATCCCGCAATTTGTTATGCAAGCAGCCGTAAGCAGACAAAACTCTTCAAATCGGTGTCTACCGACGCCACCATCCAGTTGTGGTTTGGTTAGATATAACAAGTCTGGTATCGAGACGGTTCCTCCCTGGGGCTCTCTCGTTCCTGAAGTTTTCAAGATCCTACTTTTGCTAATTCCGATTCTCTGCCGGCGCGTGGATGGAGGTGACGACGTCAGCCGAAGGCTGTCAAGAGCTTCGTAGCACCCGTTCGGTGCTACAACAAACACTCAGAAAAATTGACAGTTCGCTTTACCTGGGTACGCGGTCCGCCTAATCTGGGTCAGGATAGTCGGAATGGAGCAGGTCGTTGGGGACTATAGACGCAGCAGAGAATTAAATAAACCCCGAGTGAAGGCGAATGGCTGCAAGTGCACCATGGCGCATTTGCATGGTTGGAAGCCACAAAGCGTGAAAAGACATACCGCGTCATTTGGACTTCGTGTCAGCTGGTCTCGAGGGTCTCCATCTTCCGCAGTGTCCTCCAGGGCGACATCTATAGCGGCCATTTACTCGCCACTCCTACCCGAAAGTAACCTATCTTCTATGTAATCAACGCTAAACGCTGAAGTTGGGTAGGTATGTAATACTATTGTAAGATTATCGACTGTGACATGCTTGCAACCCATACCTACATGCGCACCAAACTCTTGTTGTACGGAAGCGTGGTGTATGCATTAATGCATGACAGTGCGCGGCGCTAGAAGTGCTTTTGGTATACTTATACATCTCTATGCCGTTGTTGTGCAATATCTAAGGCGTGTTCCTTTTAAAAAGCTGAAGGTATTTAGACAGTAGGGAAGCATTTCTAAAAATCTCGGTAAACCATTGCAATAAGTATGCCAGTTTATATTATCACCATAGGTTCTTGTGTCGAACGGTGCTAAATGAACCATGGTGCATGCATGGAAGTATTCGGGGCGGAGAAGTCTCAGGCCTCTGCTATGGAAGTCCTGGAGAAACGTCAGCTTGATTGCAGAGTCTGTGGACGCCAGCACACGATTAACTTGTGTTGCTGTGGCCACCCAGCGCCATGCACAATTTTGTGTTCAGGCGCTTTGTGGCTTCGATGGATCTAGCTGTGGAGTTAAGTATGCGTCCTTCGCAGCCTTCGCACCGGCAGTATTGGATACGGATGCCGGTATGCCATGTTTTCAGACCTGTTGTCGCAGCGCGGGCTTCGAAGCACGGCGCCGTTGCCCGGTCCGTTACCCATGCCAGGCGCCCGTCCAGCGCGCCCCGCCTTCCTGCAACAACTAGCCGAGCGTCGGCGCCGTGTTATCGGTGGGATGTCGTGCCCTGGACTGCGCGACGAATGTTACGCCTGCCTATACGGCTGTTCCCAGGCGGGTGTGTTGGGGCCGCGGGACATTGAGGCCGCCATCATGGACACGGGCGGCGATGCAGGGCGCGCGCTAGCCTGGTACCCCGGGTTGTTGATGGCATGGCGGTTTGATAAGGTCAGTGCATGTGGGTCGGGCAAAGGCAAGGCTAGCGTGTTGGTCTGCCTGACAAATGTTAACCCACATGGGAATCCTGACATGGCGCCACAGGCGGATACATTCTTCCGGGAGAATCAGCTTCCAGCATACTACGGCGAAATCGACTCCATCCGGTCCGTTGTCTGCAGTTTCTCCTCCGCAGCTGTACGGCCGTGTGCCGCGTGTCTGGCCCTCAACAGAAATCACCAATTGAAGCGTTCAGCCGATGCTGCTTCACTGCGAGTCGCTGCGACACAGCGAGTCGCGACAGACCCAAGTGTCATTGTCCCCTTCCGTTCTGCCGAGGGACTTGAGCGTGCGGGACACGTTGAGCTCTTTGAGCGGCTCAAGGTGGTCACATCCGCATTGATCGCCGAGCGGGCAGATCGAATAGCGCTGGACAGGGAGATTAAGCGGCGGACATCCCTTTTCCAGGCTGATAGAGTGAGGCTACAGGCATACGCTCGGGCAGATGCATCACGCAGTGAACCCGTCCGACTGCTCGAAACATCACAACAACGAGGTATGATGCAGTGTCGGCATGCGTGAGTAGTGTAGGCTGGCGTGCGCGTACACATGCCTTGACTTGTTCTTGACTTGTTAACCATCGGACATCGATTGACATTCAGGACTCGTTTACGGCACAATTCAACAGTTGCTGCGGGGTATCATCCGGGGTCTCAGCGTCAAAGGACAACAATGCCAGCCGGAGGAGGTAGCTTTTTACATTGCCCCTTGCAGTGACGTGGGTGTCCGTGCTCCAACCCGTCGTGCTGACTATTGACCAAATGCACATTGGCTGGTGCCTAAGGTACGCGGGCCTGCTGTGGGGTACATTAAAAGCCAGGAGCATGGCCATGCGTTCACGGGCGAATGACTGGTACCAAATAGGATCAGCAATGTCGACACTGTAACACGTGCTGCAGGCGCCAGCTCATCAACCCCCGGAAGATGATGATGATCGGGCCATACCTCATCAGCTTTCCTGCACTGCGCGCGCTGAGCAAGCGCATGCCCCATGTCAACATCTCGTCCCAGGATCTCAACTACAAGGACAAACAGAACCAGCGCGCCACTCTCAAGTAGGCTCTATCCAACCTGGAATTAGGTACAGACTGGTTTGTGGCTGACTTACCGCCATTCACTGACAGACAGGTTGGCCGACCTCGACATGGATCCCTCAACTGGAAGCGTCAAGGCAGTCAGTGTGCTGCATGACGCACTGGAGACAGGTTCACGCAGTCCGGTTGGCGGTGATGGTCCTATCGTTGACGGCTCGTATTATGCTACCTTCCTCTATGTGACGTTCATGCATTATTTAGTAGCTGGCCGCTGAAAAGGCCTCTCGAGATGCTGGTGGTCGTGCTATGCGTGTACCAGCTTACTGTGCTTACTGTGTACCAGCTACTACAGCTACATTGTGCCGGGCCACACTACTGCAGGGCAGGCGCGTGTGCTTACATTTCTTTGTCTGCGTGAATGATTGGATGTATGAATGAATGGACGAATGAAAGGTGTGGTTAACATGCCCCTGGTTTGGTTAGGTTCGGGTGGTGGTATCTTTTTGAACACATGTAGTCTGGTCGAGTGCCGGGGGCCCTTAGCAGGACTGAAGCACAGTTCAAGACGAGGCGTGTGGATATGTCTGCTTGTCTGAACGAAGGAATGAATGAATGAATAGACCGGGTGTTAAAATTGTGAGCGACTTGCCATGCAGACACACCTTTGGT